GTCCTTATTCTACTCTGATCCTACTCGACAGTTTAACTGGCAATAGAATTCAATGTTCGAGATTTTCTTTCAGAATTTACCCCCTCTCTCTTTTAGCATATTTATTTGCTTCCTTTATTTCACTCTCCACTCCAATTCCCTTTTCCCTTAGGCAACCGTTCTAATGTATGTTTTTATTTGAATATACTCTTCAAATCTTAGTAAATTTGAATTTTTTCTTAAATATATGTTTTTGAATGGCACAGATGGTATTATGTTATCTATCTCAATCTGAATTTCTTCTTCTTTTTGTTCACCAAGTATGTATTTTTAAGATCCATATGTTGCTTCTATATCCATGTACTCCAGTCTTACACAGGCCTCTGAGGGGTGCATCCACATTTTATCTAAGCATTCTTCCAACGAGAAATATCCAGTTTCTTCTAATTTTTGTCAACAGCAACATCCTGCTGCAGTGAATATCTTCATATATATCTCCTCATGCATCTATGTGAGAATTCTGTGGAATTATGCCTAGGAATGGAACTACTGGCTAATAGATTCTGTATACACTTAATTTGGGTACATAATGCCAGATTGTTCTCCAAAATAGCTGCGATGAATGGTGTACCTCACACAAAAAAGACACACAGGTATTATATCCTCCTATTTCCATGAACATTTGGTATTGTCCAATTTTCTAATTTTTGCCAGACTCGTAGATGATATCTCATTGTTTTAATTTCATTTACATTTTTCTAATGTTTTTCTGATCTTAATTTTTCTTGTTAAAGATGATTTTGAACATCCAATTGTGTTCTCATTACTTTTTGAATTTTCTTTTCTGTAAAATACCTGTTCATATTCTTTCCCCATTTTCCTTTTGGGGTTGCCCTTTCTTGTTGAATTTTCTTCTTTCAATATTCTAACTATAATCACTTCTCAGTTTTGGGAACTACCTCTGCCACTCCATCAGATGCCCATTAATTTTGCCCATGTTATTCATCATTGAAAGGAAATCTTTAATTTGGACACAAGGATATTTATCAGATCTTTTGTCTTATGATTATCTCTTTCAAAATTTTGTTTAAGAAGTCCTTCTTCATCCTATGTCACAAAGATACTTTCCACATATTGATCTATTAAACTTGTAGTTTATCTTCTACATTTAGTTATTTAATCCGTCTATAGTTCACCATTGTTTGTCCTTTTAGATGGTGCAGTGGCCATGAAAGTGACTCAATAGACCTTCAACTCCAGAGAATGTGCTTTTCGGGTGCCCGACAATGACTTGAGGGCTCTCCCTCAGTGCTGCCAGACTTTTCTCAGACTACAGAGAGCACTCTAGGACGTTTTTACCCGATCCTTAGTCGGGTGCAGATTTAGAGTGTGGTCTGTCAATTCTCCTTCACTTGGGGTCAGACTTACACTGCAGTCTGAAGTCTCTCCTAGCTGGCTCCTCTCAATTTTCTCTCTTAGGCGCTTCTCCTAATAATATCCTCGCACATTTACTCCCGTCTTGGCATCTGCTTCTCAGAAGTTCTAGACAAACACAGATAGAGACTCCATTTTTTTTTTCCTACACAGTCATAGATTCAGCAAACATTTATCTGCTACCCACTAAGAGCCGATTTTCTGAAAACCATCAACTGAGTAATCTATCCTTCCCTTTTTGCTTCGCCTTGTCACCATTATTATTATTAATATCTTTATTGTTACTATGGTTTCCTATCAGATCTTTCTAACTAGTCGAGCAATTCCTCCTCTTCACTCTTCTATTTGAGATTAATGTATCTATTCTTAGAACTTTAAGCTCCACACATGTTTTGAGAACAACTGGAATTCGATTGAATTTACAGATTTCACAATAGTGTCATCTAAGATCGTGGAAAATGTTTCCATTTACTTCAACCATCTTTATAGAGGTCTTACATATATTTGTTTAACTTGATCATTGTTTATTTCATAGTTTTGAGACCATTGTAAATGATACCTTATTTTTATTATATTTTCTAGTAGGTTATTGCCGGTTTAGAAATGGTATAAATTTAGTGTTGTTTTGATCCTTCATCATTTTAAGGGCAGCACTGGCTCCAAACTGTTGAGAAATCTCAAGCCATTCTGGATCCTGATTGTCTTGTATGTGACCAGTTCTTTCTCTCTAGGAGCTTGTGAGATCTTCTTGATCACCAGCGGTCTGAAATTTTACAGTGATATACCTCGCTATGGGTCTATTTTCATCCGTTTCCTGGGCATTTGGAGGGAACTCTGAAGCTGACAGGTCCTCTCCCTTGTTTCTATGGATTTTTTCTTGGACTGCTTTTTGATTCTTTCCCTCTATTTCTCTGTTCTCCTTTGCTGGGGACTTCTAGTATTCAAATTTGGATTGATCATCTCATTTGAAAATATTTTCTCTTCTGTTTTCCCTGGCTTTGTCATTTTGCTCTACTCTCTAGGAGAGTTCCTCAACTTTATTTTTCAACCCTTACGGGAACATTTTCATTTTATTAAATGCTTTTAATTTCCAAAAGCTCTTTTTGTTGTTCCACAGAAGCTCCTTTATTATAGCATCCTGTTCTTTTTTCAAGGAGTATGGAGGTGACACCTTCTTTTATTTTCTGAGATATTAACACTAGGGTTTTTTTTTTAAGTTATTATTTCCTTACACAGTCTCTGTTTCCTCTGTCGGTTTGTTTTGGCCTCTATTTTCCAACTTAGAGAATTTCTTCAGATGTCTAGTAATCCTTGACTATCTGCTCATGATTCAGAGTGAAGGGTTAAAATGCTGACTGGAGCTCTGTGGGTATCAGTGGGGTTGTCAATTTGAGCTTCACATTGGGTTGATTCGGGTGGACTATTCATTGGGGAATCTCCAGTATCAATATTTGATGGGTTTTTTTCAGTAATAATCTTCTAGTCTCTTGCATGGAGGGGATGAGTCTGGCACTATGAGGGGGCCCTATGAGGCTAAAGGATGGAAGGAGTGGAAAGTGTCTTAGCATTTAGCACTGAGTATGCATCCAGGCATTGAGCCCCTGCTTTTGGTGTGTCCACACACTCAGCTGTGTCTCGCATACTACAAGTCAGGGACTCTAATTTCAGAGTATCCTTTCTAAACTGTTAAGCCTCAGAGCCTTTGCCTGGGTGACCGAGAGGCAGTCGTCGGCCTTGTTGAGCGAGGAGGGAGACCCAGGATCTAACTTCTCAGACAACTTCCTCCCAATTCCTTCCTTGTTTTGTCCTCTTTACTCAGTCCCATGGGTACCTGCTGCTGCTTTCTGAGCCTTTTAAGGATTCTGCGGTTGAGACAGGATTGGTTCTGGTAAATCCCACCTGTTGGGATTTGACATCCTCAGGAGCGCTGAGACAGTTCTCCACTGGTCCCTCTGCTTTCCAGCCTCTAAAGTCTTTTGCTTTGGCTCCTCTTCCATCTTCCCATCCATGTGGTTTCCTGTGTGTGTTTGGTGTTAACACTTTACACAGTTTTATGGCGAGGGAGCAAAACCAGTTGCCTGTGCTCCGTCTGCATTTTAACCCACAAGTCTCCACCTGGGCTGCCAATCCCCTCTGCATCTTCCAGGAGCCTGCCACATCGGTGGCTTCCCCTCCATTGCTGGTGAATTGCTCACATGCTCAGCAGCTGGTATCTTGAAGTCCCTTTAGTTACTTGCCCCTCTTTTTTTCCCTGCTGCCATTTATTTACTACTTAATTGGATTGCTGTCAAAAATTAAATTAAACTAAGTTAAAAGCCTGTCATTGGTCTTCTTGCTTTGAGTCCAACACACAGGTACCAGCCCTGTCTCTCCAAAGCACCCCTCCCAACTTTTGATGGTTCCTCCCTCTGTGCCTTCTGAATAAATTCCAGACTCCTTAGCCTTTTATTAATTGTACTCTATAATCTCTACTACCCACTTATCAGAACTGACTTCCTACCACCCTTTGCTTTGCTTCCTACCCAGTAGACAGATGCGTCCAGAATGTACATTATACTTTTCTTCTCACTGCTGTGCCTACACCATTCCATCCTCCAGAAACATCCTCCCTTTCATCTATGCGTCTGATAATTATCTCCATTCTTCAAGGTCCCATTGAACTGATATCTCTCTGGAACCTTCCGGGATTTCCCTAGCCTTCCTATACCTCCTTACACATCCCACCTGCTCTCCACCGCTTCCATCCCTCCCTCCATGGATATTTGCCTCCCTCTTACTGAGTATTATCAACTGTCTCACATCAATGAATTAACCGTACATTTGTTTAATCATTCCCACTGAATAGGGAGATGCTTGAAGACAAGCATCTTGGCATGCCCATTATGCCTAATACGCTTTGCCGTGAGTACATTGCAAATACAGGGTAAGCGAGGAAGAAGACATTTTAAATACGGTAGGCTTAAATTAGACAGCAAAATAGTAAAACATAAAATCTCCGTTGCAGCCAAATCTGAGCAGTGTGTTCTATGACGTGTTTCAGCAAGCACGGGCATTAACAGGCAGCTCCCTGCCTTCTCTGAGCCTAATCAGCCAAGAGCTCTGCTGGGTGCTAAAGGCCCTATGGGGAAAAATAACCGTGCTGTCTACCTTTATAGCAACAGGTTAAAGCTGCTGATTTATGACTCTTGGCAGGAACAGCTGGCCCTTTGCCAAGGGACACAGCAGTGGCGTCCGGAGAGCCCATCAGTGACCTCCACCCACTCCCACCTACCCCCCACCCACCCCAACCCATCCCAACACACCCCAACCCACCCCTACCCACCCCCACCCACCCCAACACACCCCCCCCCACTCCCACCCATCCCCACTAACCCCAACACACCCCCACCCACTCCCACCCATCCCCACTAACCCAACACACCCCCACCCACTCCCACCCATCCCCACTAACCCCAACACACCCCCACCCACTCCAACTCACCCCCACCCAGCCCCAACCTGCCCAAACCACCACAACCTGCCCCAACTCACCCTAACTCACCCCAACCCACCCCCTGTGAGACAGTGCTCCAGCTTCCCCAACTGACCTGGGTCTGCATCAAGCGAGACAGTCAGACACTCAAGAGATTCTCGTAAAGATGAGGGGCCCCTCTTGGGAACAGCTTGGGCCAGCCCTGAGTTAGATCAGCGCTTTGCTATTTCATCTCCAAATCTTTACCCCCAGTCTCTTGCCCAGGGTCTTTCTCTGCCAAGCGTCCAGTGCCGTCCTGCTTCTCCCAGCTGCTTCTTCCTGGAGGCCGCCTGGCAACCGTTCAAATCTCTGAGTCTTTTCCTTTAAAGGCCACCAGTCTCCCTCCTTCTCTCAGGGCCGTGGAAGGGGACTGGATAGCAGATTCCGATAAAAGTAGTCACAATGAAGTGTTTGTGGTCAAATGTACTCCCCTCCCAGTGATGTTTGCATCTGAAATGCTGGCTTCTGGACACTGCCTTAACCCAAACAAGTGAATCTTTAATGGATATTAATTTTCTACGAAGAATGGGGTGGAAGTGGGAATTTTGGCATCTCTTAAGAATTCACTTTGAGAGCCAGCCCTGGTGACCTTGTGGTTAAGTTTGGTGTGCTCCACTTTGGTGGCCCAGGTTCAGTTCTCAAACATGGACCTACATCACTCACCTATAAGTGGCCATGCTGTGAGGGTGGCTCACATACAAAATAGAGGAAGATTGGCAGCAGATGATAGCTCAGGGTGAATCTTCCTCAGCAAAAAAGAAAAGAAAAGAAAAGAAAAAATTCACTTTGAGGTAAATGTTCTTATAAAGTAAGGCTATTCTCACTGGCAAACTGCAAAACGTGTGTTGGGAGAAACATTCGGAGCCCTTGCAAAGCTCATCTTCAGGGTAGTATGGACAATCATAGGCTTGAGAACATACAGATAAGCAAGGGAGTTGGAGAGAAACATGTGTTTTTAAACAATAATATAGTTACTTCCTACGAGAAATGGTCTTGTCCCACTACTGAAGCAAAATTCTCCTTCTCTTCTAAAATTACACATTTTTCTCAGTGTTTTTTGGATTACTAACTTTAACAGGTATATAAAAGTTTAGGAAACTTGGCAGAATGGAAATGTAAAATGGTACAGCCACTTTGGAAGACAATTTGGCAATTTCCTATATAACTAAATATACTCTGATCAGGGCTGGCCCCATAGCCGAGTGGTTAAGTTCATGCTCTCAGCTTGGGTGGCCCAGGGTTCACTGGTTCACATCCTGGGCTCGGACCTATGCACCACTCATCAAGCCAGGCCGTGGTGGCAGCCCACAGAGAGGAACTGGAGTAACTTGCAACTAGGATATACAACTATGTTCTGGGGCTGTGGGGAGAAAAAAAAAAAGAGGAAGATTGGCAACAGATGTTAGCTCAGGGCCAATCTTCCTCACCAAAACAGAATGGCTTAAAAGAAAAAGTAGCAGAAGTGCTTGCTTTAAAAACAAAAAAAGTCATACTCTGATCATACAATCCAGCAATCACACTCCTTCATTATTTACCCAAATGACGTGAAAACTGTGTCCACGCAAAAACCTGCACATGGGTACTTTTAGCAGCTGTATTCATAATTGACATATCTTGGAAGCAACCAAGATGTCCTTCAGTAGGAGGATGGATAAATAAACTGTGGTCCATCCAGACAATGGGATATTATTCAGTGCTAAAAAGAAATGAGCTATCGAGCCAGGAGAAGACATGGAGGAACCTTAAGTGTATATCAGTAAGTGAAAGAAGCCAGTCTGAAAATGCTACACACTGTATGATTCCAACTCTATGACATTCTCGAGAAGGCAAAACTATGGGGACAGTGAAAAGACGAATGGTTGCCAGGGGTTGGGGGTGGGGGGTGGGGGGATGGACGAATAGGTGGAACACAGAGGATTTTTAGGGCAGTGAAACTACTCTGTGTGACACTATAATGGTGGATACGTGTCATTCCACATTTGTCCAAACCCATGGAATGTACATCAGAGTGAACCCCAATGTAAACTTCGGCCTTTGGGTGATGATGATAAACAATGTAGGTTCACCAGTGGTAACAAATGTCCCACTCTGGTGGGGGATGTTGATAATGGGGGAGGCTGCATTTATGTGAGGGCAGGGGCAATATATGGGAAATCTCTGTACCTTCTTCTCAATTTTGCTGCGAACCTAAAACCACTCTAAAAAAGTCAAATCTTAAAACACTGACCAGTATTGATAATTTTCCTATAGATTAAATATATTCTTAAATGTCCACTGCCCACATCCACCAAGTAGAAACAATGAATTTTAGGGCAAAAGGACTCCTTGCTCGAGATCCTCAGAATCTATCACGATCCTGTTGTCTGCCAGGTTACAGCCTCCAGCAATATGGATAATTAGCTTCTCATAAGGGTTAATTTAAGATCCTCAGCTCTTTGTTTCATTTAAAATTTGTATGCCCTTACCATATTTATTTTTATTTATTAAAATGTATATTATTTCCTTACATCATATCAGTTTATGACAGGAAATTTAGAAAACAGAAATCTTAAAAAAGAGAGATCCTGAGTAGACCAAGAGAGCAATCTACAAACAGAACCAGGATAACAGAGTGGACATGAAGAGAGAGGCACGGACACGGGACCACAGTGTCTGCCGCTGAAAAGTGAGTACCCTGGTACCTGATTTCCACTTCCAGCTCCGTGTGACCTGGCTGAATTCATTTCCTCACGTGTTCGTGAGTTTGCTTGTTTTGACCTTTCAACATTTTACCTTTTTACTTTACTTATTGAAGTGGATTTCACCTGAAGAGTGTTGACTATCTGTTATGCCATTTTTAATAGCTGCATTGTTTTCCCTTTGTAAATACCACACGATTCAATTGGTTAATTCCTCGTTAGTTATACATCAAGTAGTTTCTATTTCCTACCTATTCTAAAGAACACTATAATAAACATTACTGCAGCTATCTCTTTGCCGATATTTCCTTAGAGTAAATTATTAGATGAAGAATTTTGGTTAAAGGAAATTAATATCATTCCCAGTAGTGATATGTATGAAAATTCCTGTTTTCTTCATCTTTACCAACATTAAGTTCACAATTGAAAAAAGAAACCATTCTGCTAATTCAAGCATACTGTCTCACAGTATCAACTGATATTTCTTTGATTACTAGAGTTGCATATTCTTCCATATATTTATTACCCAGCCACTTTTCTTCCATTATGAAATGCTCATTTGTGTGTTTTACTCATTTTCTTCTATTTATTTGTTCATTTATGTTTTCTTGACTTGTGAGCCCTCTCTTTTTTAAAAAATTAAGTATATAAACTCCTGATTCCCACATATTTTAACATTATCTTCTCCTCTTTAGCTATTTGCCTCTTAATTTTACATATGAGATATTCTGATAAACATTAAAAATATATCCATATAGTCATGTGTAGTCATATTTTCCCTTATGGTTTATTCCTTCAGTGTCATAACTAGAAAGTAGTTCACCTACCAAGGATTATATAATTATATCCTTTCATTTTTAAGTGGGCACATTGGAAAAAAATAATGAAATACTGCAGCACTTAGAAATCAAACTTAAATGACAGAAAATGGAGACACAAAGCAACATAGGCTACAAGACAAAATCCATCACTAAACCATTTTTAAATTTTAGGCATTCCGAAGGTTACCGATTATGAAACCATTCCCTCTATAAGAGAACAAAGCACGAGTTTTATCTCAGAGTAAATTTATTTTAAAAATATTTCCATCCTGCCTTACACTCACCTGTATTATTTAAGCCATTAAAAGTTACCAGGGAAAAAATAAGACAAGAAAATATTAAGTAATTCAGGTGGAAAAGACTTTCGTCTATTTCTCTTTCCTGTGGACACAATGGCACAGAGGCAATGATGAGAGAAAATTCACTCTAGACTTCCAAATTCAAAAACGATCCCCCTCCTTTGTGTGGTGAAGAAGAGTAGTTATCATTTGAATGTGAAATGCTGTCATCTAGTGGATTGTAGAGTTCATCATCAACATGGTTCCTATTCAAAAACGTCCCTGGAGACTCGTGAGTTGAAGGCCGCATAAGTCTGCAGCCCATAATTCACATGATTATTCTTATAATCATTTTTTTTTTTTTTTTGGTCTTGTGGCTAGAGAGAGAAGTAAAACAATGCGTGGGAGGACAGCAGAGCTGTTCAGTAATGAGATATAGCACAGACCGGGGATGGGAGAAGTGGAGGTGGAGACTGAAAGGGGACATTGAAGCCAACATTATCGAGGGTATATTGCAAACCAGCTGTTGTGAGGTGTTCTGTACCTGAAGTAGGGGTTATTACTCTATTTTACAGTTGAGGAAACAGAAGCTCAGAGAGGTCTGGCAACTTCCTGTGATCACGCAGCCCATGCATGAAGGAGCTGGGATTTGAAAGACAGAATGTTGGAAATAACAGGAATGGGTGAAGACACCGAGAAGGGTCAAATCTGACACAAGCTAGGTGATGTGAACAGCTTTCTAATTGCTGGATGGCTTGTGTCTCACATCAGTCCTCATGCGTAAGGTTCAGATGGACAAAGTTTAGAAGCGAGCGCTAAATTCTTTCTATTCAAGCGTAAAAATACTCGTCTTAGTAAGAGTGCCTTCCGTTGGCATATTAATATTCCCCTTTCAAGGTTATTTCACTTGGGTAACCCAGGACCTATATTAACCCTTTGCTTCAGAGTCAGAAGTGCTTGCTAATTGATTTTATGGAAGAATTTCGTTAAATAGGGCACAATCTTATGCCCTGCTTGTCAAATAAGAGCCAAGCCTAGTCCGAATATTCCCTATTGAAAATGAAGAGCTCTGCCTTCTTAATAATATCCGCCTTAAGGAGAGCTGTGCTTTCCTTCTTCATCACAGTGCTGCATACTAATGCTCTCTGCAGCTCCAGCTTATTCCTGTTCAAACTGTCTGTCTGCTCTGCTTTTTTCCCCCTAAGAAAAGCATTTCCAGGAACGCCAAGAGCATCTCTTTTTTGTGGACTTCCTCTTGGCGGGATCAATATGGCTGATCTGTAAATTACATGTAGGTGTGCAAAACAGCTCAGGGTTCCCTGGATGGGAGCCCACCGACTACCCTTCCCATCTGATCGGATATCGCCCTTGATTCGCAGCTAACCGCTTCTGCAAACGTCGTTAGTTCCGGCCGCTCGGGCTGCACGCGGATCCAAGCAGCCTTGGCCGCCCTGCTCTTAGAAAAGGGGAAATAAGGTCCTGCGTTTGGCGAGTTAACTGTACTCAAAGCACGACCTCCCTTGTTTAATTTTTACTAATCCTTGTTTGAAATAGGTCCTTTCGCCTCCATATTAGGT